CCGATCAATGAGATGTCTTGAAGCAGGGTCATGGTCTTAATATAACAATAGTAAACTACGCTACTACATTTGGGGACAGTCTGAGTAAAGAGCCGATGTCCGTGCAAAGGCTGAGATAGCTCTCTTTCTCACCAGATCAGAAATTCCTGGGGCAATCTTTGCAAGAGCACAACGAAGATCATCGTCCACAACCTTTACCCGGTAATTATAATTCATGAAGTGTCATTTTACCTCCAATACTACTGCTTACAACACAGCAGCTGCTCTCTCCACACGTGTGCCTGGTCCACATAAGTACATTATGGTGCCAACTCTGTCGCATGCACCTGTATTTTTGTACGGGTGGATGTGATGGGGTTGGAATGATGATGGCATCATGCCAGGTACTCGTAGGTGGGCCTATCTGCATGTGGGCAGACCCACGGATAGAGGAGGGGTGTCGCAGTTCCTCAGACCATCAGAAATAGGTGTTTTCTGATGATCTTGGGTGACCCCTGTGAAAGGGTCGTTCGACCCCCAGGTTGAGAAGCCCTGCTTTCAGGGGACCTCCTGGGTTTCTCGCACAGGTAAAGACGAGGATGCCTGGCTGTCGGCGATGGCCGAGAGGTGGGATCAGATTTCGGAAGAGGAGCAGGGCCAGTTCATGGAGTACCTGGTACGCTGCTTCGCAAGGGCAGGACCGCTGACGTTCCACGGTGAGTGCCATCGTCACCCACCTCCGCTGGCCGCGTAGTGGTGATGTTATTGGGCTGCTCATCGCCAGGTCGGCAGTTCGAAACCACCAGCCGCTCTTCCTGGGAGAGACGAGGTTTTTCGACTCCCGTCAAACCCGCTGGGCTGCAGTTCTACCCCTGCCCCATAGGGGTCACTCTGAGGCGGAATAGACTGTGGCAGGGAGTTTGGTTTGTGTCTCCCTGGCTCCCTCTTCCTGACTCCTGCCTTAGAGTCCTTGGCGCCCCACCTAGGGGACCCCTGCAGCCCAGGGAGTTCTGCAAAGTACTGTGTGGGTGCTCTTAGGTGTCCTCGAGTCGATTCCAACTCCTAGCCACCCCAAGAGACACACGAATTAAAACCATGTCGTCTTCCGCGTTTTTAAAGTGTGCCTCCGCTTACATCATTCTCATAAAAGTATGTGCCATCCGTGCTGTTGCCCTGCGGTTTTCATAACAAAGCACAGAGATGGTCAGCGACTTACTCCAAGTCACACAGCTAGTAGCAAGAGGTGCAGTCAAGATTCAAATCAGTATCAAGCTCAAGCATCCATGTCCCTGGTTACTTTGCTGCCTTGCTGCTCTGCCTGTCGTTCAGAGAAAGGGCTGAATGCTGAGACCCAGGGACAGAAAGGCCAGTGGGCAGGCGGGCATGGTGTTCTGTCCTGGGTGGAAGAAGACGCTCTATAAAGAGCTGACATCGCTGATCGAGGAGAATAGACACACCGAAGAGATCCCTCCGAGGTGAAGTGGACGCCACCACCTGTCCGTGAGTCTGTAGGAGTGTGTTCCCTTCCGCTTTGCCGCAACGCTGGTAGTTCAAACACCAGCAACGTCACCACGGATGGGGGACAGGCTTCAGAAGAGCTTCCGGAGTAAGGCTGGTTGAGAAGAAAGACGGTGGTCTACTTCCGAAAGCCCACTGACAATTGTGACTAATTATTGATGCAGCCGACCATGGTCTGTTGCTGGAAGATGAATCCCCTGTGTTGGAAGGCACTCCAGATACACAGTGACGGCGATAGGGTGGTCATCTGGCCCAGTATCGAGTTTGATCCGGCATAATCAAAATTACAATGGTCTCCGCCTGACAGCAAGGCTGTTCGAGATTCTTGCCCGTGGCTAGCGTGGATCTGCCAGCAGCTCAGTCTGACCAGATATGCTGCAAAAGGGTTATTTTTAGTGTATA